TGTGCGCTTCTGTCGAGTACAGTACCTCTGCAAACCAGGTATTTATATTTTCATAATATTGCTTCAAGTGTGACTATATCTCGGGAGTAGTTGTGAAGCCTTTACAAGTTGTCCCTCTCTAAGTTTACTTATTTGATGTTCAACAGCTCTTGTACTAAAAGTATAATCTTTCTCTTCGACAATATTTGAAAATCCAAGAATTTGCGACAATGCCAATATTTATGAAAGTGGGCTTTTGTTAGATTAGATTATGCAACTACATCCAGGCGACTCCAATTCATATCTAAAGTATTCAATTACTTGGACAGCGGCTGAGCTTTGCACAAGTAGGTGAGAAATCTGGTGATAGCCAACTGTCAATGGTTCTCCAAAATAACTTTATTTGCAACCTGCATTAGAAACTGAGAAAGAGCCCAACATCTTCTATCTTTCTACGAATATACAGGATGTTGAAAAAGTTTCTGACCCCCCCTATCTCCCAAAATACTGAGCGGAGAAAATATAAATAAGACAAGAGTTGTGATCAACGTCAAGGTCATATCTAAAGTCTTTCTTCTTTCTATTTCCGGGGTAATAAATATAGGATCCAATTAAAAAATCTGTTTGACTTTAACATGACTCCCCAAGGTCAAGGTGAGTGTTGTGGTCCATGACATATCTAAACCTACTACATTTGCCTTGGCCATTTTTTCTCCGGCCAGTATTTCTTTGAGATAGGGGCGTGAACTTCTTGATCACCCTGTATGCACAAATAGATATATGCTGAACTGGATGTTTTATTCCGGTATCTATGATCACGGCCAACCGCCGACAACGCTGCTTTTCTGCATCGAAGCAGCTCCGCAGTCAAAGTCTAAATGCCAGGGAACCGCGGCTGCTGTGTGGTGCTTGAAGAAACTTTGTGAATCCGATTTTTGAACTGCCCAAGGTTAGTAAAACTGGGAGAAGCCTCCACATGTAGATTGTTCCACAATCTTGATACCTTAGGGATACAGGAGCGGTCGCATCGGCCAGATCTGGATGTACGAAGTTCGACACGGTTAGGATGGGCGGCGGCATCATGGAGGAGAGCTCTGAGAAACAAAGCGCACTGGCATATCGTAGCTGATAGACTGATAGGCAAAAATAACCGTTCAATGGAATAATCGGTTTTTCTAAATTCATCAACCGGTTATTTCATAATGTGCGGTTATCGGTTAAAAAATGCAATACCTGGAAGGAAGGCTTTTCTTTATCATCTACACAAATGTCAGTAAATATGGGCGTAGTGCATATTGCCTTGACCATATTTTATGCGGATATTAAAAAGAAACTATACCAAAATCGGCAAAACGCTTTGGGTTAGGTATAGGTTCTAATATATGTTCTGTGGTCACAAAACGCCTGTTCTTTATGCCACGGTTTACGACAATATGTGACGTTTGACAGATATTTTCACATTTTCCGCATTTACATTTATTATAAGTGGGATATCTCTCTGTTGCTATCATCATGACGGTAAACAAGTCCAATTTTGACAGATCGCGCGAGTTGCAAGCATAAATATTATGTATTAATAAACCAACAACGCAGTAAGTCGTCAGTCTGTACATAAAGGCCGCTCTGTCCACGTTCACACCGTGTGCAATGCGCTATCTAGGCGCTTGGCTAGCCATGCTGTATACATGGCCAATGACATTTCGAATTGTTGATGGACAAAAAAAAAGGTTATTTCCCGTATAACCGGTTACATTTGGCTCGATTTACCGGTGCCGGTTAAAGCTATTGATATAGTAATCGGTCAAGCAAGTTATTAATGCCTTCGTTTCAAAATTCGGATGTTTATGTTTTAAGTAAAGGCATCATAATATAACAACTTACTTGGTTTTATATTTTCATCTAGGTATTATTGAAGTAGCTTCAGGCTGGTTGGTGCATCATTTTCATTGCTACAAGGCTTCTCCATTATTTTATTTCATGCAGCTTAAAAGTTGACTTAAGACGCATCCTCAACTGTCGTTGATATTGGGCCTATCTGTACATCTAGTAGGTGTGACAGAGAAAACACTAATTCTGCTTTGTGAGATGCTTATTTGCTTCTAAAAAATAGCCGTAATTGAAATTGGGATTTCTTCGGATTTTTTTTATCGTATTGAGTATCACATTCAGATATTGAATATATAGTGTTTTATACAGGAGCATTCATGTAGTTTTTGATGAACACATCAAATTTAAAATTAATAAAAAATAAGGTGTACAACCGGAAGTAAACGCTACTAACCAAAATATAGGGAACTTCGACCATTTCTATTTTTAAACTTTAACAGCCTGTGTATTTAAAGTATACTAGAAATTTTAAAATAGGATACGCATTTTTTAAGGGGATACCATATATTATCTACAGATAATTTCGTCACACTGTGTATGACAGTAGGCCCTTTTTAGGTCAACTGGTTTGCAAATATCGCATTAATACGTTAGGGTTTGACTTCACGTATAGATTGGTCAAGACTTCATGGTTTTGTGTTTTAGTTAAAATATTTTATAGGTAAGTACATCAATGGCGCAAAACCGGAAGTAGACATTTCAAACCGAAATCTCAGGTACATATTGCGAGGGCATTTATACTATATAGGTACCTGCGCTCATCACATAACAATATTTTCTTCAGTAGACATAATAACTGCTGAAGTTAGAGAAAGACTCCAATCGCTGCAGAATTTAGCCTAAAAATATGCATTTTTAAGTCCCGAAGTGATATAGGCGGTAGACACATTTGACATAGACCAGACACCTTGACACATTTCTAAAGAAGAATTCCTAGTTGAGCACGTACGTATGCCATACTGCAAAAAATGGCTCATTAAGACCAGCTCCCTGGGCTTAATGGCTAATAAAACACTGTCATAAAGAATTTTCTAAACATCTGCTATTAGTATTGCCAATTGTGAGAAAAGTGTATATACGCTTAAGTTAATTAAGAATTTGAGGCTTTTAAATTTAACTATTTTGACAATAATTGAACATGACGTACATGTTGATATTGACGATATTTTAAAAGGGTTGATATGAAAAAAAACGAGAAAATTCCATTCTTGTTGATTAAAGAATTTAAAGCTGCTTCATTTGACTATTACTATTTTTCCAAACTGATAATCGAAACAGAGAAGGGCGGCAAATTTGTGCTCGGCGCCGGGAGGCGAAAACACACGCTACGCCACTGGCAATAACAAAAAATTCACACATGAACATATTTCCCTAATTTAGCTATTTCCATGTGGCTCTAACTTATTTTCAAATTCGAAACAGTCTGTAGCGGCTTGGGTATATAAATTTTAGTGTGGTCTCCTACCTTCAGCACTCTGTATGGTATTGAAAATTTAGTTGAGAGAGCTAACCGAAGCCCTGTATACACTTTCAGCAAAATTTAGGCCACATATATAGGCTAATTATGTTGGAAGTGCGTTAGTATTTAGGCATTGATCAAACTGGACATATTTATAACTAGTAGAGTGCTATAACTTTACGGTTTCAAAGTTAATTTTATCATGTGGATGTTTTGAAAACGGAAAGCCTTAACTTTTGAATACCTGTACATTCCTCACTGCCTCATTTGTAACAGAGAACAAAGGAAGTCTGTTCTATCCTATCCACCTTTAGCGCTCAGCAGTTACTATTTTTAGTAATAAGCAGAAAGGTACACATGAAGAAACATCCCGGCGGTTTTCCGTTATTCCCTTTAAGCCCGAACAACGAGCAGTTGCTTCGCGTTTTCTCCCACCCTGGAGGGACTCTTTTTGAGCGTCCCTTTGTAGGGCAGTATGCCGCAGCATGGCAGGATCCAACATATATTATGAGAAAGCGCTGCAAGCTCGGGTAACTTCATTTCCAAGGTAAGCTGTAACGGCCGACGAGTAAAAAATTCATAAACTCGCCTTTTATCTTGAGTCCGCAATATATTAAGTTTATTGCTATGGATCTTACTTGTCGGTGGAGTGTGACGATATTGAGCGGGTATTCTACTCTACCGTGATATTTAGAAGTCGAGCGCCCACATCTGGACATCACTTTGTATTTGATTGGAAAGTTATAAGAAATAGCTGAAAATATAGTTGTAGACGAACAAACTATATGTTATGCGAGGTGCGCAGTGTCAATGAGATCAGCGGTCCACACTGAGGGAGATGTTCGATTTAAGCACTTTTCCACAGGGTGTCCAATAAGTACCACAACAAACATGAGGAGAAGGTAGGCCTGATCTTCCAAATTGCAAAAACTTACCTACATAAAGGTGTCACCGTTTTTGAGATATTGAATTTTTTCTTAAATTTAAAAAAAACAACTTTTTTATCTGTGGTCTTCAGCTGCATGTACAAATAACGTTATACTTTGTTCATTTTTTCTATAAAATACTTCTAGATGCTTTATCATATACAAATGCAATGTAGCTAAAAGGTATGGAGGAACCATGATCAAATAAGGACAATTTTGGGATTTATAACTTTCTGATACGTATTTCTTCCACAACTTTGACCGTCTGTGGTGAAACCAAAATTTACTGGACTATAACTGCACTATATTGAATAAAAAGACTGCTCGTTGAATACAGATTTCAGAAAGGCACCATACGTGCCATTTGGAATAGAAAAAAGTGATAGCTGCTTTTGTAAGTGACTGACACACACTACAATGTAATTATCGGATTTAAAATCGAGTTGCACTAGTTACCGGTCAGTGACATGCTAAATAGTACAAAGCTGCATTATTATTACCTGCTCCTGATATGATTTTATGAAACTCGAGTCAGTAACAATACAAAAGAATTATTTCTGTAAAGAAGAAGAAAATTTATTCATTTATTGACAAAACATGCTCAAATTGGCATCCTACTCTAATACAAGCTCGGCATCCCTTAAGAAAAGACGCTTAGACCTCTCAGATTCAATTGGGATATCTCAGCAGCAGCTTGATGTACTTGCTCTCGCAAATGTTCTTCGTTTTGAACTGGGTTTGAATAAATTTTGTCCTTAAGACCGCCCTAGTACAAGAAATCTAATGGATTTAGGTCTGGTAATCGAGCACACCACGTGATTGGCCCCGATGGTCCAATCCACCGGTAGGGATAAGCCTCGTCTGAATAAGCCCGTGGTGAGCAGGGCAGCCGTCATGTTTTATTCATAGTGTACGCCGCAGATTCAAGGGTATATCTTCTAAAAGAATTGGAAGCTGTTCCTGCAGGAACTTTAAATAATTTTCTGAGGTGAGCGTTGGTGGCAGTTACTCAGGTCCCAATATCTGACCAATAAGAATCCCGCTCCATAAATTTATTTTGCACTGGTACTGCAACCGATCTGCTCTCATTTCGTGAGGATTTACTGTCTGCCAACTGTGATGGTTATGTAATTTAACATAACCATCACGCTTGCAAGCCGATTCATCGCTCCAAATTATTTCATCAAAAAAGTTGGGGTCCAATTCATGCCTTCATGCCTGCAAAAGCCAACCCTCGCCGGGTAATCACTCTCTTCTAAAGCCTGAACATGTTTAATGTGTTAGGGATGAAGCTGCTGGCCTTTCAAAACCTTGAGAACTGTAGATCTTGGTTATATCATTCTGACTGAAGTCGATGGATCTCCTTCCACTTCCTCTAATACAGCTTCAACATCTACCGTTTCAGGACGTCCCCTCTGGCACTACCTTTAAGCTTCACCGTAAATTAGATGAACGTCCGCAGATTAGTGCGAAGAATACGGCGTGGTCTCTATCATATTTACAACACAATGTTTGCCGGTTCAATTCAAAAAAATCGACGGAAGTCCAATCCGATGCAAAAGAGCGACAAAAGTGTACACAATATACAAGGTCCAAGTCGTAAGGCAAATATGGGTCAGATATAATATCAGGAACCTATTGTACTAGGATGCATCCTTTGTTAGTAGAGCGAGACAGCAAATAACTATTTATACTGATTTCGCTATGTTTTTACGCTATAAACTGGAACAATCAGTAGCATGGAGCAAGCATGTATCCCTTTTTTTATTGTTGTTGACTATAGTCTGAATTCCAGTAGGTATCATAAAATAATAATAGGAGCAGTTAATAATATCGTTGTACTATTTAGCATGTCATTGGTCGGTAACCTAACTTTAAATCCAATAATTATATTGTAGCGTGTGTCAGACACTTACAAATATCACTTTTCTTTCTATTCCAAATAGTACGTGTGGCGCCGTTCTGAAATCTGTATTCAATGAGCAGTCTTTTATTCAATAAATGCAGTTATAGCCCAGTACATTTTTTCACCACAGATGGACAAGTTGAGGAAAAAATATCAAAGGTTATAAATCCCAAGATACTCCTTAATATCTTTTAACTAAATTGTATTCGTGTATGATAAAGCAACTATCTAGAAATAGTTCTCTATCTAGTTATAGAAAAAATTAACAAAGTATAACCATATTTCTACATGCAGCTAAAGACCACAGTTGAAATGATTCGTTTTGTTTTAAATTTAAGAAAAAATTCAATATCTCAAAAAGGATGACACTTTTATATAGGTAAGTTTTTGTTATTTTGAGGTCAGTCCAATGCCTACCTTCTCCTTAAGTTTGTCGTGGTACTTATTGGACATCCTGTATATGAAGTATTGCACTAAGGAGTAACGAGTTCTAGAAGAATGTAAAAGATGTATGAAAAAAGTTATTTAGGAAAGAAGTACTGTGAAAGGCAAGGCAAACTACAAAAAGCCGAATGCAGGGTGATCCAATCCAAGCCTTAGCATTTAGGAAGGAAAGGACCAGGCACAAGACATATAGAAAATGGGTCGTAGTCGATGTGTCTAAAAGATCAGTATTATATATTTCCCGCATTCCCGCAGAAAAGTGTCCATCGGATCAAAGCAATCCTAAGATTAGTTTCTGAGAAACAGGCGGATAAAGTTTACCTGATTTGCAAAAATGGAGAATGTGACTTTTTCGAAGGATAACCAGACTCCAGTATCATGGCGAGTGTGTCAAAAAACCACATATTCCAAGGGTTCAGATATCAGTCATTGCAAGATTATCAGGCAGATCCTGATTACTCTCAATAACTCTTGGATAAATCCATAGTCAAAAACTTTATTGGGACTTAAAAACGTGAGTACATGCCTTTTGCGGATACCTTTTACTTTGTCTAACGCTACCTGCAGTATTTTAATAACCCTCGATCTAGCAATCTTGTCTTGGTAACTGAACGAGATTAATTCGCCAATTCCGTGGACAGCTGCCATTGACTTCCTCCCAGAAATGCATGCGTTTTCCAATGTATACGTAACTGATCTAACAATACAGTGACATAAATGTATCCTCTATTTAATACAAGTATCAAGTATCACCACAGCTTAGATAACAATCAGCTATCCTGTCAGTATCAAAAACGGCCGCCATTTCTGCGGAGAAAGTCGAATGTAAATTCCCCCAGTACAACGATGAAAAAAGTTTTAGTGCGTAGCAGCAGCCGGTGTTGCCTCGGGTCATGCCAGCGACTGAAGATATTCTCTGCAATCCTAACACGATAATATTTTGATATGATATAGTGTACCGGCTGCTGCTGCTGGGCACTAAAAACTCTTTCATATTTCTACCGGAGGAATTTACATTTTACTTTCTCCGCCGAAATGGCGCCCGTTTCTGTCATTGACAGGAGAGCTTCATAGCTGATTGTTATTTTAAGCTGTGGTATCACGATCAAGATGACACCTCCCAGAGCCTTCCTACAAGATGTTCTAACGTAATATTTCTTTTAGTATGTTGATTCACCGAGTTTTTGGTCTCAAAACTACAATCGACACATTCTCCATTTTTGCTATCAGCAAACTACCCGCTTATCCCTCAGAAACAACTAATCATATGATTGCTTTGGTCCCATCGACACTTTTATTCGAGAAGGCAGGAAACAGAGCATACTGAATTTTTAGAAATTAACCACTGGCTATATGCGGTAGAAGAGGAAGGGATTAAGTAAGTAAGTAGTTTTTAGACAAACTGACTGGGATCGATTTCCCATATAATTTGTGCCTGGCCCTTCATAATTTTTTGCTAAAGCTTTGTTATGTCCTGCATATATTAATACATGATTAAGTACGCACTAATACTCCTACAACATCTGTTCCCGTGCCAGTATGTCGCCACCCCATTGAAGTCTTACTAGATGTCGATGAGGAAGTTCTTAAAGCCATATCGCTATTCGCCTTGGAGATGGATGATCATTCCGATTTCAAACATAGTAGAGATTAGAGGGTGATCACTTTATCGCGTCTGGCAGTGGCGGATATTACCCTACAATAATATATTATTAAACTGTGTATCAGAATCAGCCATTAGAATTTGAGTCGTGTTGTGGATGGCCGAGAAAATAAATGTATTACTCTATATTTTCCACTTCATATACTCATAACATAACCATAAGTGATGACTTAAGTGACAGTTATTAGCTTCGGCGTTACAAAACGACTGACAATTACAGCTAACGTCGACTGCCGGCTCTGGCTCGTGGTATGAATTTGAAATGAATTACTACAGTTCGTCTTATTTTTACTTAACCCCTGTCACCTGGTATCGATAAATCCGACTTATGCAGGAGTTCAAAGTACATATAAACGCTGCTCAATGATCTTCGTTTTGTATTTGTCGCCGAAATGTGATGTTCTCACTGTCAAGTATACCTCAAACAAAATCCCTAGTGCACCGCTTCGTTCGCAAACTACCTTACCGGCGGTACGAAAAGAACAGAAGACCGCCATATGTTGTCAAATCAGACGCCTTACAAACTTCGAAAAAACAAAACTCGTAAAGTTATTTTTCATCAGTAGGTCCTCAGTGTTCACTAGGGAGGTGAAACGTCTTATGGGCGAACTGGCAACGCCAAGGTCATCCTCTACATGCAAAATCAAGGAAGCTGCATTACCGGCATAGTCACGTGATGCTTGCCGGGATTCTATACCTTTACCTAAATGTAAAATATCAAATAAGGCGACAGTTTTGTTTACCTTCCAGACTCTGAAGTCTGGACGCTGATGCTTTCGGATGCATTTTGGTTAGAGATGAGTATGAAATTTAAAGCAACACTATGGGTAGCTACGGTGGTACAAGTGAGATGTATTGTGACTATTGCGGGAGATATAGAAGTTCAGGAGACTCTGTCATGAAGTACTACAGGTAGACTGTCTACATATTGGCGTGATGAAGTTAAAAGATTATTCAAACATGGAATAGTTATCACTGGAAATCAGCCTCTTTGTAATAGTTGCAGTTGGCACCTTTACATAAAGTACAAAAGCTATTTTGTATTCAGATCCTTATTTGAATTACAAATGGTAATATCAGCAGAGTATAGTCATAAAGCTTTTAGCTTTAAAGCAACATTCTGTCCAACTAGGCCATCAAATTTAAGGAATAGAACTAATCAATATAATTAAAAGTAACTAGCTTATTTATGAGGATGACATAAATTACATTAGTGTTTTCTGTATTGTTTCAGGATTATCAAGAAGCAATTCAATGAAGTGAGAAACCTATGTTTTGCAATACAACACAACACAACACAAATTTGAAATGAGTCTGTATCTCTATTTTCATTTCATGAATTTTTATACACCTGCCAAAAAAGATTCTTACAGCATGTGATTATCTGCTGAAAACGAATGTATTTTATGCATCACACTTGGTATAGATTTCATTATTCTGAAACTTGTTCCCAGCAGAACTGCTCCAAGAGATATTTATTACCCTTATTGAGGATATTTTATGAATATCCGTTCATGAAATAATTCTTCAATATCGTGAATATCATTTTCAAGAGCGTTCAAGTGATGAACAAATAAAATCTCAGGCACATTCCTGGCATTCCCTATTTTAGGCTCCTTCCTTTGATAGTTCCTCCAGATATCGAGGCATGCAGGCTATCGCAGCTCCCACTTCTTCAGTGTTCTGTGCATCCCACCACGGAAATTAGTAATGTGCTTTCTAGTGCATTTTGGTGAACTGGTACAATAGGCCGCGCTCACTAGAACGAACTAATCCTTGGAACTAGCGAGCGAACGAACCATTTTATACAAGAAAATTGTCAGTGAAAACATCGACTATCAATCTTTCATCCGATTGCCGGAGTCAAGCAGAGTCGGACGCGGTTAGTATTTGGTTGGGTAACCGCTTCGGAACTCATATTGTTGTTCTCTTTTTGCAATAAATTTTTCTGCAATCTGTGCCATGCGAGCGGACTTTCTCAAATTTTGGGCAAGCAGTCTTGTCAGCAGAAATAGACTAGAAGCCGATAAAGTTGAAAAATTGATTCTTCTAGTTGGAAATTTGTAGTTAATTTACATTTCC